TCTTGTTTTTAAGTGGGAGAACTTGCACAATTGGTGGCTGACTAAATACTTTTTTCCCCCACTGTAAGTGACATCATCATCATGGGACTGACACGCATAACTGTGAGAGAGGCATTATCATTTACGAGACATGGCAGTGTGGATTGGATTCAACAACTGAGCTTTGACGATTGCAACATCTCAGTGCTGGAGAAAAATTATATTCTCCATCAACGTGCTGAGGGGTAAATCAGAAAACTATAAATGCTTTATTGCCATCTAGTGGTGTATCTGGGTGGCACAGGTGGAATTCACAGCTAAAACTGTCCCAACCAACAAACAGTTACAAAGAAAAGTCAGGGGCCATGGATCCTGGTAATTGTATGAAATGTTAATGTATATAGCATTTGTAGATAACTATACTTTATTTGGATGGGAGTGATCGTCATGAAGAGAAGCATCATTAAACAATGCAGATGGTTTGTGTCCTCACATTCTCAATTATGTAAATATTTGAATCAATTCCAATCAAGTCTTGGGCGTCTAGATTTTTCTCCCTAAAATCACATTCTGATGCCTTCATCTCTCACCTAGATCATTGTGACAGATATCTGCATGAATGAGCCTCAAGATGGCATGGGCCAGAATTAATTTAATTGCTCACTGAACAAAACTAAAAAAACTTTTTTTTAAAGGCAAGTACTGGGAGTCCGTTTTCATCTAGCCACCAAGCTCATCATCTCTGTTATGCTATGGTAACCACGTCATTATGCCCAGACACTCTTGCACTTCTAAATAATTTACTTCGCCCACATATGCAAAAAAAAAAAAAAAAAGGTAATCTTCTGTAAGATCCATGAAGAGCAAATAAGGATAGAATCAAATTGAATCTAATTTAACAAATACTATACATTTATCTTTCACACTTTATATCACACACATGTTTGTATGCTCACACACACACACACACACACACACACACCTTGCCCTCATGCACATTCATGCGCACACTCCATACACACATCCTTAAATACAGTTCTGTCCTTGACAGGGTCACAGACAGCTCAACTTGTTCTCTCCCTTTCCTATTTCTCACCCCATGGTTTAATGTTATATATGCGCTCTATATTCGGGCCAACACTGGAATTTCAATCAAGCCCGCTGCTAACAGACTAAGTCATACCTCCACGGCAAATGCCTGTGAATCTTAAGTGTGGCCCCGGACAGCGCCACTGAGCATGATGAATGGCCCTGTGCTGCACTGCGTTCCGCTGCTGTCACAGTTTGCCAGTTGGATGGTTCGCCTGATGGACGTAATTGGAATGGACAAAGTCTGGATGGTGGCTGTTTGTTACACATAGGCGCGCACATTTACAGAGACTTAAACGTTCCTTGTCTGTCACGAATGTTGATACAATTATATTTGAACTTACTCTGCCAATTGTCCGTGGGGTTGGTCCTTCAGTGGGTCGAAATTTGAGACAAAATATCCCCATGAAAGTATTATTTAACCGACTTTAAAACGCGGGTCTCTGTATGTGGCAATCAAGACGTGTTTGCTCCTGACCTAAGGCACGTGCATAAGACGGTAGGACATGCATTCTGACAGACGTCTTGCAGGTGTTTACATGGTTTTGCGCATGTGCCAGGTAATAGAAATGTCAATGCGGTACCAGCATTCTAAAAACTTTCTTTTTTCAAAATTCGACCCACTGAAGAATTAACCACACAGACAACCGGTAGGGTATGTTCAAATGTAAATGTATTCAACATTCTGGCTTGTAAGGAAACATTCCACGTTTTTCCACTGCTTAGTTTCATGCTGTATACCAGATGCTGGTTTCACAGGCTGATTCATCAGCCGACACAACTGTTGGTTAAGTGTTAGAACATATTCTACTCACACACTCTTCTCTTCAGGGGTTCTGGATGCAGGATAAACACAAAATTGATTACAGCATGCGCTACTGCCTACTGTCAATGCTGGTGAGCATCAATCACGTATTAAGAGGATCTTCCCATGTCTTCAAAGAGGAAGATAACAAAGCCAGACACTGTCCTTATGCGAGCATCAATACAGAACTTACTACGATGAGATTGTTTGCTCTGCTGTGCTTCTGCCATGGTCAGGCTGTGACCACGTACAGTACTGTGTCTCATTTGAAATATTTACAACTCCCTTCATATTCAAAGTCATTAATACAGAATTGTTCATTCCCATCCTTGTTAGCCACTGTGCTCATAAATATGCTGAGTTTGTTCCAAGCTGTGAAAATACATCCTGTTGTTATTCACCACCTCTCCAGCCTTTACACTTGTTACTAGAGCGAACTGCAATCCCCCTGTGGAGAGGAACTGTTGGTTCATGGCCGTTGGTTTGCAAGAGAGGAGCTATACTATTTGCAGACATATCTGCATGTCATCAGTTAGGTAGTTGTATTCGCAAGTCAATAGGCTACGTTTTACAACTTTCCCACACAATATTTATATGTTATAATGTTGCCACAGTGTTGTGTTGGCAACAACCATAATTGAACAAATAATTGCTTGTGTACCACAGTATATGGAGTTTAGGGTTTTGCCCATTTATCCAGTGTTTGCATGCCTCCCTCCTTTCTCCTAGCCTGGGTACCAGTTTGTCTGGATTTCAGGCTACCTTTCTCCACCCTCTTATCTTCTAACTAACCCGTTTGACAGGATCAGCTGAGCAAGGCACTGTACAGAATCACTGATCTACAAATCATGTTGCATCCCAAATAACTACTCATTATGTTCTCACAGCACCTTGCTCACACGTATCCCCTGGAACACACTGTAAGTCTATGACCATGGAGGATTGCCACTGTTGCCAAGTGAAATGGGAGCCCAGGACTCCAGTTCACATATTCTAAAATCTCCCCCTGATTTTCCATCCTGCCGCCTTGTGAATTTGTCGGCCTGAATTCTCCCTTTATCATCCATATTATCTTCCTCAATAAATATTTTAATAACTATGGACTTGGAGGTGTTGTCTGTGTCTAGTGAATTGTCCACTGGGGAGTGTAGAGTATTGCATGGCACACATCTGTACCATAAATGGAACTTCCACAAGTACCTCTGTCCAATCACAATCCTCTTCCTGGTCTCTGTCTAATGCCACATAACCTTGCCACATCACCTTCCCACTTATAAGCACAAACTCCTTGAGAAATGATCATCTCTAATACTCTGCTGCTCAGTCTGTTAGTGTGTGCACCGCAATGGCAGCAGCCATGGATTCCATCAGTTGTTCAATATGTCTGGATCTACTGAAGGATCCGGTGACTATTCCCTGTGGACACAGCTACTGTATGGGTTGTATTAAGGACTGCTGGGATCAGGATGATCTGAAGGGTGTCCTGATCAGCTGCCCTCAGTGCAGACAGACCTTCATCCCAAGGCCTGTTCTGAAGAAAAGCACCATGCTAGCAGAATTGGTGGAGAATCTGAAGAAGACAGGACTCCAAGCTGCTACCCCTGCTCACCATTATGCTGGACCTGGAGATGTGGTGTGTGATGTCTGCACTGGGAGAAAACTAAAAGCGGTCAAGTCCTGTCTGGTGTGTCTAGCCTCTTACTGTGAGCCTCACCTCCAGCCTCACTATGAATCTCCTACCTTTAAGAAACACAAGCTGGTCAAAGCCTCCACACAACTAGAGGAGAAGATCTGCTCTCGTCATGACAAACTGGTGGAGATTTACTGCCGTACCGATCAGAAGTTTATCTGTTATCTGTGTACAATGGATGAACATAAAGGCCATGATACAGTCTCAGCTGAATCAGAAAGGACTGAGAGACGGGTAAGGACAAAAACTCTTTAATAGTTGTTCATTCACAGTATCAATGTGAGAATACTATTAATTACAGAATATGAGTCACTGCACATATTTCTGTATGAAATTGAAAAGGAAGTTAATCAACACCCAATAACCTAAAGCTGGCAGGTAGCCTAGCGGTTAAGACCGTTGGGCCAGTAATTGAAAGGTCTCTGGTTTGAATCCCTGAATTTACTAGGTGGAAAAATGTGCTGTTCTGCCCTTGAGCAAGGCAGTTAACATCCAACAACTGCCCTGTGGATGTTGATAAGGCAGGATTTTCCAAACTCGTTCGAGGGGCCACCCCTGGGTGTACGTTTCTGCCCTAGGACTACACAGCTGATTCAAATAACCAACTCATCATCAAGCTTTGATTATTTAAATCATCTGTGTGGTGCTAGGGGGAAAAAAAAAAAACGTGCACCAAGGTGGGGCCCCAGGACCGAGTTTGGGAAATCCTGGATTAAGGCAGCCCCCCACACCTCTCTGATTCAGAGGGGTTAGGTTAAATGCGGAAAACACATATCGGTTGAATGCATTCAATTTTGTGAATTCCCTTTCCCTTCCCACATGCATGTAACAGAGGTGGTTCGATTACAACACTCACATGATGTGTAACCTTGACTGAGACATGAGGAGTTGCATTGGCTCCCTGAGCTAATGCCTAGGCTTTGGGTTAATGCGCTTTTTTGGCACGCAGGAGACCTGGGATAGCAAATGATTGGTCATGCGCATACAGACACACGTGACTTTTCATAAGGCATGGACTTTGACCTATCATAAAGTTTGATCTGTTCTCAGTAAGACAGTCACTTGTACACATGAACAATGTACTGACATTTGTTTTTTCCCAGAGGCAGCTGGGAGAGAAAAAGAAGGAATCCAAACAGAGAATCCAGAAGAGACAGAAAGAGATGCAGGAGGTGAGACAGGCTGTGAAATCACTCAAGGTGAGTGTTGTTGACCATTTACATGTATTTACTTGGCAGATAGTCCTCTCTAAAGTAACTTACTTCTCCTAAAGTAAACTACAGTAAAACTGAAGCCAGTAAGGAACCCAGTGCTAGGCCATGTTCCAATCCCACTGAGCCCCACTGTGGAGAACAGGTTGTCTGGGGTTCTGGTGAGAGCTGAGTGAATAGGCTGGTTGATATGAAACCCCTCCTCTCTTTCTGTGTTTCCTAACAGTGCTCTGCACAAGCAGCAGTGGAGGACAGTGAGAGGATCTTTACTGAGCTGATCCGCTCCATTGAGAGAAAGTGCTCTGAGGTGAAAGAGCTGATCAGAGCCCAGGAGAAGGCTGAAGTGAGTCGAGCTAAAGGACTACTGAAGCAACTGGACCAGGAGATGGCTGAGCTGAGGAGGAGAGAGGCTGAGTTGGAGCAGCTCTCACACACAGAAGACAACATCAAATTCCTCCAGGTGATATCAGGGTCTCTCTGTCCCCAGCATCAGTTGTTACTGCTGAAAGTGAAATGTTTGTATTTCTCAACAATAATCTGTTCTCTGTTTTTTATGTCTCTGTAGAGTTTCCAGTCTCTCTGTGTCCCTCCTCGATCTGAAGACTTACCCTGCATCACTGTCAACCAACACGTCACCTTTCAGGATGTAAGGGAATCAGTCTTTGAGCTGAAAAGCCAAGTAGGAAAAATCTGCTCTGGGGAAATTGCCAAGATCTCTGTAAAAGGTAGGTAACCTAGGCAACTACTGAGCCCTTTGACTTTCTGTAATGTTTTTGAAATTATCAGTATTGAAACAATGATATTTCATTTCCTATGGTTCCATAGTGACAAAAGTCCACATTGTTCCACCTTCTGAGCCCCGTTGTCTTCCCTCATTTGGCACAACTCAGTCTGGACTGTCAGTTGGAGGACTAGCATCACATGGGAATGACACCACCTGTCAGAAGACAAGGCCTGAACCTAAGACCAGAGAAGAGTTATTAGAATGTGAGTAAAGAATATACCCCAGCTAGTACATAACGCTCGGAGAACCATATGTTTCTTAGAGCTTTGTGAGAGCGTGGTTGTCCTATGGTTATTTTGCATTCAATCTTTCCTCAGCATTCTGGGAATGGTACAGGATACCCAGCTAGCACATAACGTTCTAAGTTCTAACAATGTTTCTTAGGATGGAATTTCAGTACTTCAGCGTAAGGTTTTCTACGTTTCCTCATTCTTAAAAAAGAAAGAAACGGTACAGGTTACCTTCAAACAAGTCCCGTGACACTTGTGGGGGTTGTAGAGCAAGTTAGTTTGTAGCCCAAATGGTTCGGATACTATCAAACAGAAGTTGGCACATCGACATTTTACATAAAAACCGCAAAGAAACATTAGTAATGTTCAAAGAACATTCTAAGAGTGTTATTTAAAAACATACATTCCGTTCTCAGCGTCAACAAAACTCTATCCTCTATCTTGTTAAGTGTATTTAGGTGTGTCGGCCGCGTCCACTAATTGGCCACACCTGATCTTAATGAGTGCTCGACAGCTAGCACATTTGGTTCCTTTGAAGTTGTGGGAACATACGTTTTTGGTTTCCCATTGGTTCTCGAAACGAAGCCATACGTTTCCTGACCGGTAAAACTTTACATTTTTTAAATGTTCTGAGAACCGAAGTGAAATGTTGTCTGTTCTGGGAACGTAAATTACTAGGTTGCAGGAGGTTCTGAGAATGTTTTACTATGGTTCCCTGAAATTTCTCCTGGGAGGTTTTATTAACGTTCTGAGAACAGAAATTATAGGTTTTTTGAAGGTAATTAAATAACATTCTGAGAACATGTTTCAATAAGACTTTAATAACACTGCTAGCTTAGTTTAGGTTAACTGTTTAGAACTCAAAGCACAGATAGAACACCCTGGAAAGTAATTTGCTTAGGCATTAATCATGCATTTATTTTTCTATTGTGGCATGGCATCAGTGAGCTTTGAACCTATGATCTTCTGTTCTCTATCCATGGAATTAGTCCACTTCGCCACCAGGATGGAGCTAGCGTTTATTTATACAAACCTGTTCATTTTAGTCTATTCAAACAGACCTTATTTCAAAATAAACAAGCACTCATTAAGATCAGGTGTGGCCACCCAGGTGGCAGCACGCATCTTTGCTTGCCTGGCAGATATCTCAGCTTGGATGTCGGCCCGCAACCTCAAGCTCAACCCCGACAAGACGGAGCTGCTCTTTCTCCCGGGGAAGGCTTGCCCACTCCAAGACCTCTCCATCATGGTTGACAACTCCACAGTGTCCCCCTCCCAGAGTGCAAAGAACATTTGCGTGACCCTGGACAACACCATGTTGTTCTCTGCAAACATCAAAGCAGTGACTCGCTCCTGCTGGTTCATGCTCTACAACATCAGTAGAGTATGACCCTACCTCACACAGGAAATGGCGCAGGTCCTAATCCAGGCACTTTTCATCTCCCGTCTGGACTACTGCAACTCGCTATTGGCTGGGCTCCCCGTTGTGCCATCAAACCCCTGCAACTTATCCAGAACACTGTAGCCCGCCTGGTGTTCAACCTTCCCAAGTTCTCCGATGACACCCCACTCCTCCGCACACTCCACTGTTTTCCAGTTGAAGATCGCATCCACTACAAGACCATGGTGCTTGCCTATGGAGCAGCAAGAGGAACTGCCCCTCCCTACCTTCCGGCTATGATAATACTAAAAACGTACGTTCACACAACTTCCAAGGAACCAAATGTGCTAGCTGGGACTGTACAATGCAGATGAATATACTACACACACACACACACACACACACACACACCTGGATGCACACATACATTTCACCTGTTTTTTTGTCTTCATCCTCAGATTCCTGCCAGCTCACATTGGATCCCAACACAGCATTTAAAATGCTGTGTCTGTCTGAGGGGAACAGAAAGGTGACACGGCGTTATAAGGACCAGCTTTATCCTGCCCATTCAGACAGGTTTACCACCTACCCCCAGGTGTTGTGTGGAGAGGGTCTCTCTGGAGCCTGCTACTGGGAGGTAGAGTGGAGCGGAGACTGGGTTGATATAGCTGTCTCATATAAAGGGATCAGCAGGAGAGGACCTGATGAGGGTTTGTTTAGAAGCAGTAAACAGGCCTGGTGTTTGGAGTGTGATGCTTCTGGTTGCTCTTTCTATCACAATGATAAACAGACTGTCATACCTGTCTGCTGTTCCACCAGAGTAGGTGTGTACCTGGACCACAGTGCAGGAGCTCTGTCTTTCTACAGCATCTCTGACACAATGACCCTCCTCTGCAGAGTCCAAACCACTTTCACTCAGCCCCTCTATCCTGGGTTCACAGTCTCTAGAACTGTGAATATACTGAAACAACCAAGATTATTATAGTAAACTAAAACTGAAACGAAAATGAAAACAAATCTTGAAAAAACAATTTAGTCAACTGAAATAAAATAACTAACAACCCTGTTTGAAAAACTAAAACTATACTGAAACTATTATCTTTGACTCCAAAATGAACTAAAATAAAATAAAACCATTATGAACTATGTTCAGTTTTAGTTTATTTTTCAAAACTTTGGGCAAATATCTAATGGGATTTTCAACTGGGTTTTCAAGCTTTTAGGGAGTTTTCAAGCTACTGAATCTGGTGGGTAAATGCTACCAGGAGAAGCCGATGTTTCAAATAGGGCTAGCTTGTGGATCACTATCACAAGGGACGGACTTAGTGATTTGGAGGCCACAGGCAGATGCCAGTCTGAACCCGCCCTCCCCCTTGAACGAAGCAGAATGAAAAGGCTAACTGAAAACCCTTGAAATGCCCTTCATTAGTAAAGGTCTTTGCATCACCACCTAGAGCGGTGGGCAATCATTTTGTCTCGAGGTGCACATCTGGATAAAAAAATTCAACGGAGGGCCGCACAGACTTTTTTTGGGACCAATTTGTTTGTCAAAAGCAATTTGCGGCCCAGAAAAAGGGTAGTTATTTGAAAATGGGAACATTATAGTTTCTACATACTTTCTATCTGGTTTTAGTTACAGTGCCTTCATCTTCTAACTAACCCGTTTGACAGGATCAGCTGAGCAAGGCACTGTACAGAATCACTGATCTACAAATCATATTCCTACCCATATAACTACTCATTATGTTCTCGCAGCACCTTGCTCAGACCTATCCCCTGGAACACACTGTAAGTCTATGACCATGGAGGATTGCCACTGTTGCCAAGTGAAATGGGAACCCAGGACTCCAGTTCACATAATCCAGGTCTCCCCCTGATCTCCCATTATACTGCCTACAGACTTTGTTCTCCTGAATCGTCACTTTAATCTTCCTCAATAAATCTGGTTATAACTATGTACTTGGAGGTGTGGTGGTCTGTATCTAGTGAATTGTCATTTGGGGAGTATAGAGTGTTGCAAGGCACACATACTATAAATAAAACTTCCTTAACCACCTCTGTCCAATCACAACCCTCTTCCTGGTCTCTGTCCAACACAACACTGTGTACAGGAAAAGAGTACACACACACATACAACCAGACCAGGAATGTTCCCACTCAAAAGCACAAACAATTCCAGAGAAACGAAAGTAGTGTCAATCGGCTCAGTCTGTTAGTGTGTGCACCACAATGTCAGCAGCCATGGATTCCATCAGTTGTTCAATATGTCTGGATCTATTGAAGGATCCGGTGACTATTCCCTGTGGACACAGCTACTGTATGGGTTGCATTAAGGACCGCTGGAATCAGGATGATCTGAAGGGTGTCCTGATCAGCTGCCCCCAGTGCAGACAGAACTTCAACACCTGGCCTGTTCTGAAGAAAACCACCATGCTAGCAGAATTGGTGGAGAATCTGAAGAAGACAGGACTCCAAGCTGCTACCCCTGCTCACCATTACGCTGGACCTGGAGATGTGGTGTGTGATGTCTGCACTGGGAGAAAACTAAAAGCTGTCAAGTCCTGTCTGGTGTGTCTAGCCTCTTACTGTGAGCCTCACCTCCAGCCTCACTATGAATCTCCTGCCTTTAAGAAGCACAAGCTGGTCAAAGCCTCCACACAACTAGAGGAGAAGATCTGCTCTCGTCATGACAAACTGGTGGAGATTTACTGCCGAACCGATCAGAAGTTTATCTGTTATCTGTGTACAATGGATGAACATAAAGGCCACGATACAGTCTCAGCTGAATCAGAAAGGACTGAGAGACAGGTAAGAACAATCTATAATTGCAGCTCATTCAGAGTATCACTGTGAAAATACCATTAATTGCTGAATATTAGTCACTACTGTACAACATAGCTTTGAAAAGGAAGTCAGACAACATCCAATAATCTAGCTGTGCTAATATACACCCTCATGTGATGTTACCTTTACTGAGACCTGAAGAGTTGCATTGGCTCTTTCAGCTAATGCCTAGGCTTTGGCTTAGCGGGCTAATGAGCTTTTCTGGCACGCAGGAGATCTGGGATCGAACCCGATCGGTCGCACCCATACAGACTCACACAGACACGTGCATGCCTTTTCCTCCATAATGCATAGACTTTGACCTATCATAAAGTTTGATCTAGACTTGACCTGTCATAAAGTTTGATCTGTTCTCAGTAAGACAGAATCACTTGTACAAATGAACCATGGAATTACATGTGTTTTCCTGCAGAGTCAGGTGGGGGAAAAACAACAAAAATCCAAACAAAGAATCCAGGATAAAGAGAATGAGATGCAAGAGGTGAGACAGGCTGTGTATTCACTCAAGGTGAGTGTTGTTGGTAATATACATGTATTTACTTAGCAGTTAGCCCTCTCAAAAATAACTTACTTCTCCTAAACTAAACTGCAGTAAAACTGGAACCAGTGAGGAACCCAGTGCTGGGCCATGTTCCAATCCTATTGAGCCCCACTGAAGGGAACAGGCTTTCTGTGGTTCTGTTGAGAGCTGAGTGAATGGACTGGTTAAAATACAACCCCTCCTCTCTTTCAATTTGTCCTAACAGAGCTCTGCAGAGGCAGCAGTGAAGAACAGTGAGAGGATCTTTACTGAACTGATCCGCTCCATTGAGAGAAGGCGCTCTGAGGTGAAAGATTTGATCAGAACCCAGGAGAAGGCTGAAGTGAGTCGAGCTGAAGGACTGCTGAAGCAACTGGACCAGGAGATGGCTGAGCTGAGGAGGAGAGATACTGAGCTGGAGCAGCTCTCAAACACAGAAGATAACATCCAATTCCTCCAGGTGATATCAATGGCTCTATGTCCCCAGCATCAGGTGTTACTGCTGAAAGTGACATTTTTTACTTTCCCAGCAATAATATTTTTCCTGTTTTTATTTAATGTATCTGTAGAGTTTCCAGTCTCTCTGTGTCCCTCTTGGATCTAAGGCCTTACCCAGCATCACTTTCAATCAACACGTCACCTTTGAGGATATAAGGAAATCAATCTCTGGGCTGAAAAGTAAAGTTGAAAATATCTGTTCTGGAGAAATTGCCAACATCTCTGTAAAAAGTAGGTAACATATAGTATTAGAACAGTATATACGATACAAGTTAGGGCTCGATTCAATCCATAGAGCAGATAATCTGCGTTGTAGCGCGGATTATATTTAAAGGTAATTTCCGATTGAGCCGACACATGCAGCGTTTACCGTGAATACAGTCTCCACAAACGCGGTACCATTGCCTTTAAAGACCAATCGCGCTACAACGCAGATCTTCCACACTACTGATTGAATCGAGACCCTAATCTGCCATAAAGTATGTTCAGTAGGTGAATTTTATGGTTGAATGTTTGTTTTCAATGGAGAACCTTTTTCAGTTACATATTCCTTTGGCTTTCTGTAACGTTTATGTCATGATCAGCGTGGACAAGTGATATTTGATTTCCTGTGTCTCCATAGTGACAAAAGTCCACATTGTTCCACCTTCTGAGCCCCGTTGTGTTCTGTCATTTGGCACAACTCAGTCTGGACTGTCAGTTGGAGGACTAGCATTACATGGGAATGACACCACCTTTCAGAAGACGAGGGCTGAACCCAAGACCAGAGAGGAGTTCTTGGAATGTGAGTAAAGCACATACTGTACAATGCACTTGAATATACTACACACACACACACACACAAATACACACACACCTGGATGCACACATACATTTCACCTGTTGTTGTGTCTTCATCCTCAGATTCCTGCCAGCTCACATTGGATCCCAACACAGCACATAAAATGCTGTGTCTGTCTGAGGGGAACAGAAAGGTGACACGGAGTAATTACGACCAGCTTTATCCTGACCATCCAGACAGATTTACCAACTATGTCCAGGTGTTGTGTAGAGAGGGTCTGTCTGGAGCCTGCTACTGGGAGGTAGAGTGGAGCGGGGTGGAGGTTTATATAGCTGTCTCATATAAAGGGATCAGCAGGAGAGGACCTGATGAGTGGTTTAGAAGCAGTAATCAGGCCTGGTGTTTGGAGTGTGGTGTCTCAAGCTGCTCCTTCTATCACAATGATAAACAGACTGACATACCTGTCCCCCGCTCCACCAGAGTAGTAGGAGTGTACTTGGACCACAAGGCAGGAACTCTGTCCTTCTACAATGTCTTTGACAATATGACCCTTCTCCACAGAGTCCAGACCAGTTTCACTCAGCCCCTTTATCCTGGGTTCTATGTCACTACGTATCTCAAGATACTGACACCGACACAGTGATTAACTTGAACGAGTTACAGTCATACAGTTAGAATACAGAAAAGGGTCAGAAAAGGGACCGGAAAGATCCATATTGTAAGGTTTTAACTTAAAATCATTGCATCAAGTGGTTAAGAAATATTACCAAGTTTAAATAAATGTGTACATAAATTATCCAGATTCTATTGTCCTTGTGTGTTGTATAAAACTTCCGCTTCCACCAGTCAGCATGAGCCCTCTACCAGGGAGGAACACAGGCAGGTACAATATGTCATATAAATACCTTGTTTTTATACAGGGGCATGTATTCATGGACGCTAAGGGAAGCCAGGCTTCCCCAAATATTTCAAATAATTTATCTTCTCTCTCTGTGTTTTAATACATTTCCGTAAATTCGCAAGGGGCTGAATCTCACCGGAGAAATCATCTGAGCAAGGGAAACAGTGCCCATCTGTCTCAGTATGTGTAGGCCAAAAGAGTATAACATGTTGTCACCGTAGCATTTGATTGATTGATGCCAGCAAACATTTGGCCTTCGTTGATAAAAAAATATATAAAAAAATTAGCCAATCAGCGTTGCGCTGAGCTCAACTCTTGGTCGTCCTGGTGCAGTAAAACGCCCCCCAAGGGAGGGCAGTTTGGATTTGACTTCACACCAATCAAATCACTTTCAAAGCAAAATGGCATTTTCAGAAAATCGTGTCTGTTTCTGGTCTGCTTGTGTTGATGTCCTGCAGTAGCTAGCTTGCTAAATCGGCCCTTTCCTAAGCCATGGATGGAGATGGGGATTTGGAATTGTGGTTTTGACTTAATTCTCTGTACAGGCAAATTATTATGATCTAACCATAAATGAATAGGTTGTGCCACTGACCTTTATAGCTAGGTAGCCTATGACAACAAAAACAAAAAGTTTACTGTATGACAGAGCCACAGACCGTTTTGCCAACATGAAAGAGAGGAGGATGGCACTGGCTTTCAACTAGTCTACAAGAAGGGTGAACACACTGTCAGAATGCGACGGTGAAATGCGGTAGGCGAAGTCAAACGCAGGACACAGAGCTTACTGGAAACGTACTTTACTTGAAAGTAACCGGAGAAGAAAACAATCTCCAACAAGGAGGAAAAACAACCCGCACACGAACACTGCCGATGACGAATACAATAACACACAACACACAATGAACGACAAGAGGGTTAAATAGGGAATACAATACAACGTAATGGGAAACAGGTGTACACAATCAGGACAAAACAAGTCAAACACCGAAACATAGATCGGTGGCAGCTAGTACTCCGGGGACGACGAACGCCGAAGCCTGCCCGAGCAAGGAGGAGGAGCAGCCTCGGCTGATTCCGTGACAGTACCCCCCCCCTTGACGCGCGGCCCCAGCCGTGCGCCGACCCCGGCCTCGGGGACGGCCAGGAGGACGCGGAGCAGGGCAAGTCGGATGACTCCGGTGGAAGTCCCTCAACATGGAGGGATCTAGAATGTCCCTCCTGAGGACCCAGCACCGTTCCTCCGGACCGTACCCCTCCCACTCCACGAGATACTGCAGGCCCCCTGTCCGACGCCTCGAATCCAAGATGGAACGGACTGAGTACGCCGGAGCCCCCTCGATGTCCAACGGGGGCGGAGGAGCCTCTCGTACCTCACTCTCCTGGAGTGGACCAGCCACCACCGGCCTGAGGAGAGACACATGGAACGAGGGGTTAATGCGGTAATTAATGGGCAGTTGTAACCTATAACATACCTCGTTCAATCTCCTCAGGACTTTAAAGGGCCCCACAAACCGCCGACCCAGCTTCTGGCAGGGCAGGCGAAGGGGCAGGTTTCGGGTCGAGAGCCAGACCCGGTCTCCCGGTGCATACACCGGAGCCTCACTGCGGTGGCGATCGGCGCTCGCCTTTTGACGCCTGATGGCCCGCTGCAGATGGATGTGCGCAGCGTTCCAAGTTTCTTCCGAGCGCCGAAACCACTCGTCCACCGCAGGGGCTTCGGTCTGGCTCTGATGCCAAGGTGCCAGAACCGGCTGATACCCTAACACACACTGGAAAGGCATAAGGTTAGTGGACGAATGGCGGAGGGAGTTTTGGGCTATCTCTGCCCAGGGAATATATCCCGACCACTCTTCTTGCCGGTCCTGGCAATATGACCTCAGAAACCTACCCACATCCTGGTTAACTCTCTCCACCTGCCCATTACTCTCGGGGTGAAAACCTGAGGTAAGGCTAATCGAGACCCCCAGACGTTCCATAAATGCCCTCCAGACTCTAGAGGTAAACTGGGGACCCCGATCAGACACTATATCCTCAGGCACCCCATAGTGCCGGAAGACGTGTGTAAACAGGGCCTTAGCAGTTTGTAGGGCAGTAGGGAGACCAGGCAGGGGAATGAGACGGCAGGCTTTAGAAAACCAATCCACAACGACCAATATCGTAGTGTTCCCCTGGGAGGGAGGAAGGTCCGTGACAAAATCCACCGATAGGTGAGACCACGGCCGTTGTGGAACAGGTAGGGGTTGTAACTTCCCCCTGGGCAGGTGTCTAGGTGCCTTACACTGGGCGCACACCGAGCAGGAGGAAACATAAACCCTCACGTCCTTAGCTAAGGTTGGCCACCAGTACTTATCACTAAGGCAGTGCACTGTCCGACCAATACCCGGATGACGAGAGGAGGGTGACGTGTGAGCTCAGTATATCAAACGGTCGCGAACCTCGAGCGGCACGTACCTCCGACCCTCAGGGCACTGTGGAGGAGTAGGGTCGGAACGTAACGCCCGCTCGATTTCCGCATCCACCTCCCACACCACCGGTGCCACTAAACAAGACTCCGGGAGTATGGGAGTGGGCTCAATGGACCTCTCCTCTGTGTCATATAGTCGGGACAGGGCGTCTGCCTTAGCGTTCTGGGACCCTTGTATATATGTGAGCTTAAATACAAAGCGGGAAAGAAACATTGACCACCTTGCCTGGCGAGGATTCATCCTCCTCGCTGCCCGGATGTACTCCAGGTTACGATGGTCAGTCAGAATGAGAAAAGGGTGTTTAGCCCCCTCAAGCCAATGTCTCCACACCTTCAGGGCTTGAACCACAGCCAGCAGCTCCCTATCCCCCACGTCATAATTGCGCTCCGCCGGACTGAGCTTCATAGAATAGAAAGCACAGGGGCAGAGTTTAGCTGGCGTACCCGAGCGCTGAGACAGCACAGCACCGATCCCAGCCTCGGAAGCGTCCACCTCCACCTGGAATGCCAAAGAGGGATCCGGATGCGCCAGCACCGGAGCCGAGGCAAACAGGTCCTTCAGACGTCTAAACGCCCTGTCCGCCTCAGCTGACCACTGCAGGCGCACCGGACCCCCCCTTAGCAGAGAGGTAATGGAAGCTGCTACCTATCCAAAGCCCTGGATAAACCTCCGATAGTAATTGGCAAAACCCAAGAAGCGCTGCACCTACTTTACCGTGGTGGGAGTCTGCCAATTACGCACGGCAGAAACGCGGTCAATCTCCATCTCTACCCCTGACGCGGACAACCGATGTCCCAGGAAGGAGATGGACTCCTGGAAGAACAGACATTTCTCCGCCTTCGCATACAGGTCATGCTCCAACAGTCTACCAAGCACTCGACGCACCAGGGACACATGCTCGGCTCGTATAGCGGAGTATATTAGAATGTCATCAATATATACCACAACACCCTGTCCATGCAAGTCCCGGAAAATCTCGTCCACAAATGATTGGAAGACTGAAGGAGCATTCATTAACCCGTATGGCATGACGAGGTACTCATAGTGACCCGAGGTGGTACTGAATGCTGTCTTCCACTCATCTCCCTCCCTAATGCGCACCAGGTTGTACGCGCTCCTGAGATCCAATTTTGTGAATAATCGCGCCCCGTGTAATGACTCCGTCATACTAGCAATCAGAGGGAGAGGATAGCTGTATTTGATGGTGATCTGATTTAGACCACGGTAATCAATACACGGGCGTAAACCCCCATCCTTCTTCTTCACAAAAAAGAAACTTGAGGACGCAGGGGAAGTAGACGGCCGTATGTACCCCTGTCTCAAAGATTCGGTGACGTAGGTCTCCATAGCGGCCGTCTCCTCCTGAGACAGAGGATACACGTGACTACATGGAAGCGCAGCGCCTACCTGGACGTCTATCACACAATCCCCCTGTCGATGAGGTGGTAATTGAGTCGCCTTCTTCTTACTGAAGGCGAGAGCCAAATCGGCATACTCAGGTGGAATGTGCAAGGTGGGAACTTGGTTCGAGCTTTCCACCGTCGTTGCCCCTACGGAAACGCCTACACACCGCCCAGTACACTGATCAGACCATCCCTGGAGAGCTCTCTGCTGCCATGAAATGTTGGGGTCATGAGCTGTTAACCAGGGAAGCCCCAACACCACGGGAAACGCAGGAGAATCAATCAAATACAACCGTACTATCTCCTCATGACCCTCCTGCGTTTTCATCCGGAGAGGCGCCGTGACCTCCCTAATCAAACCTGACCCCAACGGGCAGCTATCTAGGGCATGAATGGGGAAGGGCACATCAACAGGTACGATAGGAATCCCTAACTTATAGGTGAACTGGCGATCGATAAAATTCCCAGCTGCGCCTGAATCTACTAGCGCCTTATGCTGGGAGTGAGGAGAAACCTCGGGAAACACTACTTTAATACACATATGATCAGCAGAGAGCTCTGGGTGAGTTGGGTGCCTACTCACCTGGAATGACTCATCAGTGCGTCGCCCACTGCCTCGATTCCTAGGAGACCCTCCCCAGCACCGACCAGCAGTGTGTCCTCTGCGGCCACAGTTGGTGTAGGGGACGGCCTCCCTCCTGGTCTCCCTCCTGGTCTCCCTAGCACCAGCACCCCCGAGCTCCATAGGGGTCGGCTCGGATGTGCTGGGGGATGGAATGGACGGCCCCGAATCCGGACGTCCGCGGGTAGCCAACAGGGTATCCAGGCGAATCGACATGTCCACCAGTTGGTCAAAGCTGAGGTTGGTGTCCCTGCAGGCCAATTCCCGACGCATGTCCTCCCTCAGGCTGCATCTGTAGTGGTCGATGAGGGCCCTCTCATTCCATCCCGTGTTGGCAGCTAGCGTCCGGAAGTCCAGCGCGAACTCCTGCGCGCTCCTCCTCCCCTGTCTAAGGTGGAATAGACGCTCACCCGCCGCTTTACCCTCTGGGGGATGATCGAATACTGCCCGGAAGCGGCGGGTGAACTCTGCATAGCTGACCATAGCGGTCTATCCCACCCCATTCGGCGTTGGCCCATTCCAGCGCCTTGCCGGACAGACAGGAGATGAGGGCGGACACGCTCTCGTATCCCGAGGGTGCCGGGTGAATGGTTGCTAGGTAGAGTTCAACCTGGAGTAGGAAACCCTGACACCCGGCCGTGGTGCCATCATAAGCCCTCGGGAGCGGGAGCCGAATTCCACTGGACTCCGGAGATGGAACGATGGGTATGGCTGATGGTGGTGGTATCGTAGGATGAGGTGTGGGCAAACCTCCACTCTCCCATCGCCTCAAGGTGTCCATCACCCCTTGGATGGTGGTGCCCAGGTGCTGGATCATGGCCTCTTGTTGGGTTACACGCTCCTCCAGTGCTCCCCTTGGCGCAGACGATCCTACTGACTCCATCGTAGGTGTGTTATTCTGTCAGAATGCGACGGTGAAATGCGGTAGGCGAAGTCAAACGCAGGACACAGAGCTTACTGGAAACGTACTTTACTTGAAAGTAACCGGAGAAGAAAACAATCTCCAACAAGGAGGAAAAACAACCCGCACACGAACACTGCCGATGACGAATACAATAACACACAACACACAATGAACGACAAGAGGGTTAAATAGGGAATACAATACAACGTAATGGGAAACAGGTGTACACAATCAGGACAAAACAAGTCAAACACCGAAACATAGATCGGTGGCAGCTGTGGTCCTCTGTAGCTCAGCTGGTAGAGCACGGCGCTTGTAACGTCAAGGTAGTGGGTTCGATCCCCATACACAAAAATGTATGCACGCATGACTGTAAGTCGCTTTGGATAAAAGCGTCTGCTAAATGGCATATTATTATTATTATTATTATAGTACTCCGGGGACGACGAACGGCGAAGCTTGCCCGAGCAAGGAGGAGGAGCAGGAACGGCTGATTCCGTGACACACACACACACACACACACACACAGAAATCAGTACCATGGACAGCCACATGATATTTAGCAACATTGATTGGACTAAATTGTTTTTGATATCTTTAAGTTTGTTTTCAGTGTATTGAACTAAGCATACATAGCCTTGTTGATTTGATGATGTTTAAATGTTTAAGTTAAAATGGTGCTGGAATAGCGGAGGCAGTGCTCCTGTTGTCTTTGTGCTGACTTGCGGTAACTCTGTGTTTCTAAATCAGTAGTTGTTTAGTAAACTGTCTAAAATATGTACTTGCTTGACCATGCTGCAGGTCATATAACTGTTTGTTACATGCAATACTTGCTTTGTGGGCTTCACCGGACAGATGTTGCTCTCCGGTTTTGTGATGAAACAAACGTATGTGTAGTTGAATTTATTATGCAACTGTGTGAATGTTGTCTTTTTGTTGTCACGGCCTTATTGTATATCACGGTAGTGTATGAACAAATGGGTTATAGAGCAAACAACCCAATCATAACATCATAGGTTGTAATATGGCTTTTTTACTTGCTTGGCTTAGTTTCCTCAGTGATTTTACCCACGCACTGCTACTGTCTTTATATCACATATAGTATCACTACATGCAATTATCTTATTTTCTGAGTATTACTAACAGTTAATTTCATATTTGGACCAACTTCTCTGGGACCGTTACAAGCATCAAATGATCCTAGACAGATGGGATTCTTATAGATGGAAGAAACTACTTAATGTTGACAACCTGTATATGAAATAACACATATGGAATCATGTAGTAACCAAAAAAGTGTTAAACTAATCAAAATGTATGTTATATTTGAGATTCTTCAAATAGCCACCCTTTGCCTTGATGACAGCTTTGCACACTCTTGGCATTCTCTCAACCAGCTTCACCTGGAATGCTTTTCCAACAGTCTTGAAGGAGTTCCCACATATGCTGAGCACTTGTTGGCTGCTTTTCCTTCACTCTGCGGTCTGACTCATCCCAAACCATCTCAATTGGGTTGAGATCGGGGGATTGTGGAGGCCAGGTCATCTGATGCAGCACTCCATCACTCTCCTTCTTGGTAAAATAGCCCTTACACAGCCTGGAAGTATGTTGGGTCATTGTCCTGTTGAAAAACAAATGATAGTCCCACTAAGCCCAAACCAGATGGGATGGCGTATTGCTGCAGAATGCTGTGGTAGCCATGCTGGTTAAGTGTGCCTTGAATTCTAAATAAATCACAGACAGTGTCACCAGCAAAGCACCCCCAAACCATAACACCTCCTCCTCCATGCTTTACAGTGGGAACTACACATGCGACGATCATCCGTTCACCACACCGCGTCTCACAAAGACCAAAAATCTCCAATTTGGACTCCAGACCAAAGGACAAATTTCCACCGGTCCATTGTTCATGTTTCTTGGCCTAAACAGGTCTCTTCTTCTTATTGGTGTCCTTTAGTAGTGGTTTCTTTGCAGCAATTTGACCATGATGGCCTGATTCACACAGTCCCCTCTGAACAGTTGATGTTGAGATGTGTCTGTGACTGGAACTCTGAAGCATTTATTTGGGCTGCAATTTCTGAGGCTGGTAACTCTAATAAACGTATCCTCTGCAGCAGAGGTAACTCTGGGTCTTCCATTCCTGTGGCGGTCTTTATTAGAGCCAGTTTCATCATAGCGCTTGATGGTTTTTGCGACTGCATTTGAAGAAACTTTCAAAGTTCTTGACATTTTCCGTATTGACTGACGTACCTCTTTGCTTATTTGAGCTGTTCTTGCCATAATATGGACTTGGTCTTTTACCAAATAGGGCTATCTTCTGTATACCCCCCCATACCTTGTCACAACACAACTGATTGGCTCAAACGCATTAAGAAGGAAAGAAATTCCACAAATTAATTTTTAAGAAGGCACACCTGTTAATTGAAATGCATTCCAGGTGACTACCTCATGAAGCTGGTTGAGAGAATGCCAAGAGTGTGCAAAGCTGTCATCAAGGCAAAGGGGTGGCTATTTGAAGAATCTCAAATATGAAAAATATTTTGTTTTGTTTAACACTTTTTGGTTACTACATGATTCAATCTGTGTTATTTCATAGTTTTGACGTCTTCACTATTATTCTACAATGTAAAAAAAATTAAAAATAAAGAAAAACCCTTGAGGTGTGTCCAAACTTTTGACTGGTAGTGTATGTATTTAAACAAGCAGCAATGAGCTGTATAGTTCAGTTCAGATGTGTTGATCGTTTAGTCCACCAGGTGGCAAACTATGCATAGTTTACGAGAGTATAGTAAGGTAGGCAGAGTACTGCAGTTATGTCTTTGAAGTGCAGAGCTAGGATTTAAACCCAGTCCCAATTTAATTTCTCATCATTTTAAAGTTAATGAGATAAATGCACATAGGATTATCAATTAAGGACATGCATGCACCAAGCAGAGTATAGTGCTGCTATTAATTGAGGACAGTAATATATAGTAGTTACCATTCTGCCTGATTTAAAAAAAGATGTGGTTTAAACTATCATTTGAAGAAAAATGCTAAGTGCTTGATAGTTTTTAATAAAACTTGATCTTGAACGTATTGCTATTGACACTTGATAATAAAGATTGTATTTTCAAATGGATGTTTAAAAGTTACAATTGTCCAGTCATCAATGTTGTGAAATGTCTGAAATGGTTGTGGCTAGTACATGCCAGGAATTGCAGACACCCACTCAAACGTTATGGGTAAAGAATGATTTTATTAGGATCCCCATTAGCCAAAGCCAATGACGACAGCTAGTCTTACTGGGGTCCGACACATAACGAAAAAGACATTACAGACCAAATAAAACAATTTACAGACATTTACATGTAGTGTGTGAGTGTGTGTGCGTGCATCTATCAGTTACACATAGTGCCTTCAGAAAGTATTCACACACCCCTTGACTTATTCCACATTGTTGTGTTACAGCCTGAATTCAAAATTGATGCACACAATACCCCATAATGACAAAGTGAATTTTTGCTGATTTATTCAAAGTCAAATACAGAAATATCAACATTACATAAGTATTCACACAACTGAGACAAAACTTTGTAGAAGCACCTTTGGTGGTGATTACAGCTTTGAGTCGTCTTGGATAGGTGTGTATCAGCTTTGCATCTGGATTTGTGGATTTTCTCCAATTCAGATTTTCTCAAGCTCTGTTAAGTTAGATTGGGAGTGGCGGTGAACAGCAATCTTCTCAGGAGTGGCTTCCGTCTGGCCACCCTCCCATAAAGCCCAGATTGGTGAAGTACTGTAGAGACTCGTCCTTCTGGCAGGTTCTCCCATCTCAGCCAAGGAACTATGTAGTTCCGTCACAATGGTCATTGTCTTCTTGGTCACCTCCCTGACCAAGGTCCTTCTCGTCCATTTGCTCAGTTTGGTTGGACAGCTAGCTCTAGGAAGAGTCTGGGTAGTTCCATATTTTTTCCATTTCCCAATGATGGGACCACTGTGCTCTTGGAAACTTTCAACACTCTAGAAATTGTTGTATTCCTTTCCTCTGATATATGCCTCATCACAATTCTATCTCGAAGCTCTACGAACAGTTCCTTAAAATTCATGTTATAGTTTCTGCTCTGACATGCACTATCAACTATGGGACCTTATATAGACAGGTGTGTTTCTTTCTAAACCATGTCCAAACAATTTAATTGGCCACAGGTGGACTCCAATCAAGTTGTAGCGACATCCCAAGGATGATCAAAGGAAATTGCATGCACCCGAGCTCAATTTGGAGTGGCATAGCAAAGGGGTGTGAATACTTATGTAAATTAGATATTTATTTATTTAATTTTCAATAAATGTGCAAAAATGTCTAAAAACATGTTTTCTCTTTGTCATTATGGGGTGTTGTGTGTAGATGGGTGAAAATCAATTTAATCAATTTTGAATTCAGGCTGTAACACAACAAAATGTGGAATAAGTCAATGTCAGTACATGCACACAACAAGTAGGTCACATGGGGGAGAGGCGTTGTGCCATGAAGTGTTGCTTTATTCATTTTTTGAAACCAGGTATGCTGTTCACTTGCGCTATATGAGATGGAATGGAGTTCCATGCAATCATGGCTGTCTAATACTGTAAGTTTCCTTGATTTTTTTCTGAACCTGGGGACTGTGAAAAGACCACTGGTGGCATGTCTGGTGGGGTAAATGTGTGTGTCAGTGCTGTGTGTAAGTTGACTGTGCAAACAATTAGAAAACGTATAAAAATCCAATTTAGTTATTTTTCTATTTAAAAAGTGTGATTTTGAGAGCGAAAACCTGAAAAAAGAGGGGGAAACAGAAACCTGGAAAAACTAAACAGAGAACTGAATTTCTGAATAAATAAAAAACCGACATCACCGAAAACATTTCATAGATTTTATAGGGCCCTATAGGGCCCTACAGGGTTATCAGGGAAAACATTGGCTAGATAGATAACTTGAGTCCTCTTACATGCCGTACTAAAGTTAAAAGGAATGGGATTGGTGTATACATGGGCGAGAGAGAGTTTCCTTCTACCATATGTTTTGCACCAGTCTCTGCACTATTCTTTTTAAATCCAAGTCACATTGAGACTGACTTCTAAGTCCATTTAGTGGCATAATGAATGGAGCAATGTAACATTTTCTTGTGTGTTGTAACTTGGGGGTTACCCCTATAGCCCTCAGGTTTTTTTTATTTAAACCTAACCTGATCTATGACCTGACCCATCACCTTATGTATAACTGCCCTACAGTGGCAAGAAGTGACATCCCAAAAAACACACAAATAACTACACAAAACAAATGGCTCCTAGCCTTCTTCTATCCCTAACACTAAAACTGAAACAAAATATAAATATAAAAACGAAATACAAATATTTTTATACAACTCAAACTACAATGAACAAAAATATAAACGCAACATATAAAGTATTGGTCCCATGTTTCATGAGCTGAAATAAAAGATCCCAGAAATTATCCACACGCACAAAAGGCTTATTTGTCTCAAATGTTGTGCACACATTTGTTTACATCCCTGTTTGTGAGCATTCTCCTTTGCCAAGATAATCCATTCACCTGACAGGTGTTGCATACACTACATGACCAAAAGTATGTGGACACCGGCTCGTCGAACATCTCATTCCAAAATCATGGACATTAATATGGAGTTGGTCCCCTCTTTGCTGCTATAACAGCCTCCACTCTTCTGGGAAGGCTTTCCACTAGATGTTGGAAAATTGCTGTGGGGACTTGGTTCCATTCAGCCACAAGGTCGGGCACTTATGTTGGGCGATTAGGCCTGGCTCGCAGTCGGCTTTCCAATTCATCCCAAAGGTGTTTGATGGGGTTGAGGTCAGGGCTCTGTGCAGGCCAGTCAAGTTCTTCCACACCGATCTCAATAAACCATTTCTGTATGGACCTCGCTTTGTGCACGGGGGCATTGTCATGCCGAAACAGGAAAGGGCTTTCCCCAAACTGTTGCCACAAAGTTGGAAACACAGAATCATCTAGAATGTCATTGTATGCTGTAGCATTAAGATTTCCCTTCACTGGAACTAAGGGGCCTAGCCCGAACCATGAAAAACAGCCCCAGACCATTATTCCTCCTCCACCAAATTTTACAATTGGCACTATGCATTCGGGCAGGTAGCGTTCTCCTGGCATCCGCAAATGAATATTTGTCCATCAGACTGCCAGATGGTGAAGCGTGATTCATCACTACAAAGAGCGCGTTTCTACTGCTCCAGAGTCCAATGGCGACGAGCTTTACACCACTCCAGCCGGCGCTTGGCATTGCACATGGTGATCTTAGTCTTGTGTGAGGCTGCTCGGCAATGGAAACCCCATTTCATTAAGCTCCCGAAGAAACAGTTATTGTGCTTGTGTTTTTTTACATGCTACACGCTACAGCACTCGGCGGTCCCGTTCTGTGAGCTTGTATGGCCTACCACTTAGCGGCTGAGCCGTTGTTGCTCCTAGATGTTTCAGTTTCACAATAACAGCACTTACAGCTGACCGGGGCAGCTCTAACAGGGCAGAAATTTGACAAACTGACTTGTAGGAAAGGTGGCAAAAAAATTATAAATGTATGCACTCACTAACTCTATGTCGCTCTGGATAAGAGCGTCTGCTAAATGACTAAAATGTAAAATGTAAAAAATGTGGCATCCTATGACGGTGCCACGTTGAAAGTCACTGAGCTCTTTAGTAAGGCCATTCTACTGCCAATGTTTGTTTATGGAGATTGCATGGATCTGTGCTCGATTTTATACACCTGTCAGCAATGGGTGTGGCTGAAATAGCCGAATCCACTCATTTGAAGGGGTGTTCACATACTTTTGTATATACAGTGCATTCAGAAAGTATTCAGTCCCCTTCCCTTTTTCCACATTTTGTTACGTTACATCCTTATTCTAAAATGGATTTAATTAATTAATTTCCTCATCAATCTACACACAATACCCCATAATGACAAAGCAAAAACTGATTTTTAGAAATTTGTGCAAATGTATTACAAATAAAAAACTGAAATAACTTATTTACATAAGTATTCAGACCCTTTGCTATGAGACTCGAAATTGAGCTCAGATGCATCCTGTTTCCATTGATCATCCTTGAGATGTTTCTACAACTTGATTGGAGTCCACCTGTGAACAATTTAATTGATTGGATATGATTTGGAAAGGCACACACCTGTCTATATAAGGTCCCACAGTTGACAGTGCATGTCAGAGCAAAATCAAAGGAATTTTCGGTAGAGCTCCGAGACAGGATTGTGTCGAGGCACAGATCTGGGGAAGGGTACCAAAACATTTCTGCAGCATTGAAGGTCCCCAAGAACACAGTGGCCTCCATCATTCTTAAATGGAAGAAGTTTGGAACCACCAAGACTCTTCCTAGAGCTGGCCGCCCGGCCAAAGAGAAGGGCCTTGGTCAGGAAGGTGACCAAGAACCCGATGGTCACTCTGACAGAGCCCTAGAGTTCCTCTGTGGAGATGGGAGAACCTTCCAGAAGGACAACCTTGCAGCATTCCACCAATCAGGCCTTTATGGTAGAGTGGCCAGATGGAAGCCACTCCTCAGTAAAAGGCACATGACAGCCTGCTTGGAGTTTGCCAAAAGGCACCTAAAGACTTTCAGACCATGAGAAACAAGATTGTCTGGTCTGATGAAACAAAGATTGAACTCTTTGGCCTGAATGCCAAGCGTTACGTCTGGAGGAAACCTGGCACCATCCCTATGGTGAAGCATGGTGGTGGCAGCATCATGCTGTGGGGATGTTTTTCAGCGGCAGGGACTGCGAGACTAGTCAAGATCAAGGCAAACATGAACGGATTAAAGTACAGAAAGATCCTTGATGAAAACCTGCTCCAGAGCGCTCAGGACCTCAGACTGGTTGTGAAGGTTCACCTTCCAACAGGACAACGACCCTAAGCACACAGCCAAGAACGCAGGACTGGCTTCGGGACAAGTCTCTGAATGTCCTTGAGTGGCCCAGCCAGAGCCCGGACATCTCTGAAGAGACCTGGAAATAGCTGTGCAGCAATGCTCCCCATCCAGCCTGACAGAGCTTGAGAGGATCTGCAGAGAAGAATGGGAGAAACTCCCCAAATACAGGTGTGCCAAGCTTGTAGCATCATACCCAAGAAGACTCAAGGCTGTAATCGCTGCCAAAGGTGCTTCAACAAAGTACTGAGTAAAGGGTCTGAATACTTATGTAAATGTGATATTTCAGTTTTGTTTAAATATAAATTAGAACACATTTCTAAAAACCTATTTTGGCTTTGTCATTATGGGGTATTGTGTGTAGATTGATGAGGATATTTTTTTTTTTTAATCAATTTTAGAATAAGGCTGCAACCTAACAAAATGTGGAAAAAGTCAAGGGGTCTGAATACTTTCCGAAGGCACTGTATACCGTATGTCCATAAGACCTGGCTTTGAAAAGGAAAATAGCAAATACCCCAAAGATTTAAGCTGGTGAATATAATAATAATATGCCATTTAGCAGACGCTTTTATCCAAAGCGACTTACAGTCATGCGTGCATACATTTTTTTTGTGTATGGGTGGTCCCGGGGATCGAACCCACTACCTTGGCGTTACAAGCGCCGTGCTCTACCAGCTGAGCTACAGAGGACCACATGCACACATGCATGTAACAGAGGTGGTTTGATGACCACACTCACATTATGTGTAACCTTTACTGAGACATGAGGAGTTGCATTGGCTCCCTGAGCTAATGCCTAAGCTTTGGGTTAATGCGCTTTTTTGGCACGCAGGAGACCCAGGATAACACATGATCGGTCATGCGCATACAGACACACATGTGACTTTTCATAAGGCATGGACTTTGACCTATCATAAAGTTTGATCTGTTCTCAGTAAGACAGAGACTGTGTTTACACAAGAAGCCCAATTCTGATATTTCTTCCACTAATTGGTCTTTTGACCAATCAGATCAGCTCTGAAAAAGATCTGATATGATTGGTCAAAAGACCAATTAGTGGAAAAAGGGTCAAAATTGGGCTGCCTGTGTAAACACAGCCAGAGTCACTTGTACACATTAACATTGGAATTACATTTGTTTTTTCCCAGAGGCAATTGGGAGAGAAAAAGAAGGAATCCAAACAGAGAATCCAGAAGAGACAGAAAGAGATGCAGGAGGTGAGACAGGCTGTGAAATCACTCAAGGTGAGTGTTGTTGACCATTTACATGTATTTACTTGGCAGATAGTCCTCTCTAAAGTAACTTACTTCTCCTAAAGTAAACTACAGTAAAACTGAAGCCAGTAAGGAACCCAGTGCTGGGTCATGTTCCAATCCCACTGAGCCCCACTGTGGAGAACAGGTTGTCTGGGGTTCTGGTGAGAGCTGAGTGAATGGGCTGGTTGATATGAAACCCCTCCTCTCTTTCTGTGTTTCCTAACAGTGCTCTGCACAAGCAGCAGTGGAGGACAGTGAGAGGATCTTTACTGAGCTGATCCACTCCGTTGACAGAAGGCGCTCTGAGGTGAAAGAGCTGATCAGATCCCAGGAGAAGGCTGAAGTGAGTCGGGCTGAAGGACTGCTGAAGCAACTGGACCAGGAGATGGCTGAGCTGAGGAGGAGAGATACAGAGCTGGAGAAGCTCTCAAACACAGAAGGCAACATCCAATTCCTCCAGGTGATATCAATGGCTCTCTGTCCCCAGCATCAGGTGTTCCTGCTGAAAATGAAATCTTTGTATTTCTCAACAATCATCTTTTCTCTGTTTTTCTGATCTGTCTCTGTAGAGTTTCCAGTCTCTCTATGTCCCTCTGTTACCCAACATCACTGTCAACCAACATGTATACTTTGAGGATATAAAGAAATCAATCTCTGGGCTGAAAAGTAAAGTTGAAAAGATCTGTTCTGGAGAAATGGCCAACATCTCTGTAAAGAGTCGGTAACATATCTGTCATTGATATTACTAAACCAATTACTTAAGCCTCTTTCAACTACTGAGCCCCTTGATTTACTTTAATGTTTTTGTCATGATCAGTATTGAAACAGTGATATTTAATTTCCTGTATCTCCATAATGACAAAAGTCCACATTGTTCCACCTTCTGAGCCCCGTTGTCTTCCCTCATTTGGCACAACTCAGTCTGGACTGTCAGTTGGAGGACTAGCATTACATGGGAAGGACACCACCTTTCAGAAGACGAGGCCTGAATCCAAGACCAGAGAGGAGTTCTTGGAATGTGAGTAAAGGACATACTGTACAATGCACTTTAATATACTACACACACACACACACACACACCTAGATGCACACATACATTTCACTTGTTTTTTTGTCTTCATCCTCAGATTCCTGCCAGCTCACATTGGATCCCAACACAGCACATAAAATGCTGTGTCTGTCTGAGGGGAACAGAAAGGTGACACGGAGTAATAACGACCAGCTTTATCCTGACCATCCAGACAGATTTACCAACTATGTCCAGGTGTTGTGTAGAGAGGGTCTGTCTGGAGCCTGCTACTGGGAGGTAGAGTGGAGCGGGGTGGAGGTTTATATAGCTGTCTCATATAAAGGGATCAGCAGGAGAGGACATACTGAGTGGTTTAGAAGCAGTAATCAGGCCTGGTGTTTGGAGTGTGGTGCCTTTGACTGCTCTTTCTGGTACAATAGTAAACGGACTGCCATTCGTGTCCCCCTTTCCACCAGAGTAGGAGTGTACCTGGACCACAGGGAAGGAACTCTGTCTTTCTACAGTGTCTCTGACACAATGACCCTCCTCCACAGAGTCCAGACCCCATTCACTGAACCCCTCTATCCTGGGTTCGGTGTCGATTATGGATCTGTGAATATACTGACACAGACACAGTGATTCACTTTGATGAGAATACAGACATGCTATATCCTCTTAAGACTACAGTGCTCAATTTCGGGCACTAGATTTGCTGGTAATTACTGATAATATGTTTACATTACTTATTTTATTCATTCCACACCGATTTATAAGTCAGAACAAAACAAACTAGACAGTTAAAGAACACTCAGAGGCAGGTACATCAAAGCTGGGACCGAGAGACTGAAAAACAGCTTCTATCTCCAAGTCATCAGACTGTTAAACAGTCATCACTAGCTGGCCTCCGCCCGGTAACCTGCCCTGAACCTTAGACAATGTCACTAGCCGGCTACCACCCGATACTCTACCCTGCACCTTAGAGATTGAACCCTGTTCACTTGAATAATGTTTATTACTGTTTTACCCACTTGATATGTATTTACTGTATTCTAGTCATGGCTCATCCTATATAACTACTGCTGTACACACCTTTTCTATTCACATACTGTCCATACTGTCTATACACACCATTGACATACATACAGTACAGTACAGTGGAGGCTCCTCAGAGGAGGAAGGGGAGGACCATCCTCCTAAGTGAATTTCATAAAAATAAAAATGGTAAAACATTTAAAAAGTTCTTCTTTTTAGATAAAACTATACCAAATATATTCATGTCACCAAATAATTGATTAAAACACCTCAACAGCACTCTGTAAGGTAGCGCCATGGTGACAGCTAGCTTCTGTCCTCCTCTGGGTACATTAACTTTAATAAAAAACCTAGGAGGCTCATGGTACTCACCCCCTTCCATAGACTTACACAGTAATTATGACAACTTCCGGAGGACATCCTCAACCTATCAGAGCTTTTGCAGCATGAACTGACATGTTGTCCACCCAATCAAAGGATCAGAGAATGAATCTAGTACTGAAAGCATAAGCTACAGCTAGCTAGCACTGCAGTGCATACAATGTGGTGAGTACTGTTAGTTGACTTAAAGAGAGAGAAAGACAATAGTTGAACAGTTTTGAACAAATTAATTTATTCAAAAATGAAGGAGAAGCAACAGAGAGATGGCTATATTTCGTCATTTTTTTTCACTTTCACTTTCTTAGCTAGCAAATGCAGCTAGCTAGTTTAGCCTACTCCAAAACCCGGTTCAAACATAAGGATGCTATGTTAGCTAGGTGGCTATGACTATCCAACACAACACTGGAACTCTTCCAAGTCAAGGTAAGCATTTGGTTTTCCTAATGTATTGCCACCGGGGCCTGCCGGTGTAACCGCTAAACTGCTTACTGACTGCACACTGTAACGTTACTTTTGATTGTAGCAGGTTTACTAACACGTTAGTTCTATTAGCTATGTTGACTATGAATTTACTTTAGATAGTATGGTAACAACGATGCAGGCTGTGTGTAGAAGTTATGATATGGTTTGGCTTGGAAAGGTTTTTTTCGCCTGGTCACATATAACTGATGTGTTGAGCATTGAAGTCCACAAGCGAAGGGAAAAGGTGAAAGGAGCAGAACGCATAGATGCGAGAAGGAATACAACATGGCTGCTATGAAAGTGATTCCACCGATTCTGTTAAAAAACGTTTCTTAAACTGAAGCAAACGAAACGTGGATAAACGAACCTGAATTTGTCCAATAGAATCTCTCGTTTGTAACTGTTGGACTAATGATTACATCCTAGATGAGCTAGATGCAGGCAAGAGTGTGGAAGGTGGTATTGAATGTGTCACTATCTGTCCATGTGTCACTGTCTGTTGCCTCAAATTTTTATCTCAACCTGTGTGCATCTACGTTGTAAACTTTAATTCATCGGCAAGGTTGTAGCTACCTCATGATGGGTATAGGGAATTTTTGAATATTATGTAGTAGCCTAAACCTATCGATGTTACATTGAACTGGGTGAATGGAATATGAATGACAGTCATCCAATATGCTGTAATAGAAATAAGGCCATGCTCATGAAAAAATTATCGTCCTCCCTCATCTTAAACGGCACAGACCGCCACTGATAGAGTATATATTTATATTTCTCGTTCTGATATTTCTTAATTACTAGTTTTTTTTCTTGTTTTAATGTGGGTATTGTTATTGTATTGCTAGATATTACTACACAGTTGGAGCTAGAAAGATAAACATTTCACTGCACATGCGATAACATCTGCGTAAGCAACCAATAAACTTTTATTTAATTCAATTTTGTCTAATACACGTGTCTCTGTCTCCATCCAGTGGTTGGCGGCGTCATTACAATATATTTTGTCACCTCTTTTCTACATTTTACATTTACATTTACGTCATTTAGCAGACGCTCTTATCCAGAGCGACTTACAAATTGGTGCATTCACCTTATAGCCAGTGGGATAACCACTTTACAATGTTTATTTATTTATTTCTTTTTAAATTTTGGGGGGGCGGGGGTGTGTTGGGGTAAGGGGGGGGTAGAAGGATTACTTTATCCTATCCCAGGTATTCCTTAAAGAGGTGGGGTTTCAAATGTCTCCGGAAGGTGGTGAGTGACTCCGCTGTCCTGGCGTCGTGAGGGAGCTTGTTCCACCATTGGGGTGCCAGACCAGCGAACTGTTTGACTGGGCTGAGCGGGAACTATGCTTCCGCAGAGGTAGGGGAGCCAGCAGGCCAGAGGTGGATGAACGCAATGCCCTCGTTTGGGTGTAGGGACTGATCAGAGCCTGAAGGTACGGAGGTGCCGTTCCCCTCACAGCTCCGTAGGCAAGCACCATGGTCTTGTAGCAGATGCGAGCTTCAACTGGAAGCCAGTGGAGTGTGCGGAGGAGCGGGGTGACGTGAGAGAACTTGGGAACGTTGAACACCAGACGGGCTGCGGCATTCTGGATGAGATGTAGGGGTTTAATGGCACAGGCAGGGAGCCCAGTCAACAGCGAGTTGCAGTAATCCAGACGGGAGATGACAAGTGCCTGGATTAGGACCTGTGCCGCTTCCTGTGTAAGGCAGGGTCGTACTCTCCGAATGTTGTAGAGCATGAACCTACAGGATCGGGTCACCGCCTTGATGTTAGCGGAGAACGACAGGGTGTTGTCCAGGGTCACGCCAAGGCTCTTCGCACTCTGGGAGGAGGACACAACGGAGTTGTCAACCGTGATGGCGAGATCATGGAACAGGCAGTCCTTCCCCGGGAGGAAGAGCAGCTCCGTCTTGCCAAGGTTCAGCTTGAGGTGGTGATCTGTCATCCATACTGATATGTTTGCCAGACATGCAGAGATGCGATTCGCCACCTGGTTATCAGAAGGGGGAAAGGAGAAGATTAGTTGTGTGTCGTCTGCGTAGCAATGATAGGAGAGGCCATGTGAGGATATGACAGAGCCAAGTGACTTGGTGTATAGCGAGAATAGGAGAGGGCCTAGAACTGAGCCCTGGGGGACACCAGTGGTGAGAGCACATGGTGCGGAGACAGCTTCTCGCCACGCCACTTGGTAGGAGCGACCGGTCAGGTAGGACGCAATCCAAGAGTGAGCCGCGCCGGAGATGCCCAGCTCGGAAAGGGTGGAGAGGAGGATCTGATGGTTCACAGTATCAAAGGCAGCAGACAGGTCTAGAAGGACAAGAGCAGAGGAGAGAGAGTTAGCTTTAGCAGTGCGGAGAGCCTCCGTGACACAGAGAAGAGCAGTCTCAGTTGAATGACCAGTCTTGAAACCTGACTGGTTTGGATCAAGAAGGTCATTCTGAGAGAGATAGCAAGAGAGTTGGCTAAAGACGGCACGCTCAATAGTTTTGGAGAGAAAAGAAAGAAGGGATACTGGTCTGTATTTGTTGACATCAGAGGGATCGAGTGTTGGTTTTTTGAGAAGGGGTGCA